CTATGTGGCCTGCCAAGCATGGCCTAGGATCTCATGCCAAGCCCTGAGATTTGGCTCCCAGCAATCAACCAATCATAGAAACATATATTCACAGCATTCAGAAGGACATCCCCTATCAGGGTTCAGTGTGCAGTCTCATATGCTCTATTATGAATCAGAATCAACTCATGTTAGTGCCACAGTTTTTATTTCCCATACCCCACCCCAATGCTCTTGTGTTAAAGGCTTGCTTCCTAACTTCTGGTCCTATAAGGGGATGATGGAACCTTTAAGAGCTGGGGTTTAGTAGCTGGAAGTTCGCTCACCAAGAGAATACCCTTGAAGGGCTATTGGGACTGTGGCCTTACCTCCTCTCGGTCTTTCAATTCTTAGCCACCATTCACAGAACACTTTCCTTCACCATAAGTTTCCATCCTAATGAGCCCACATCTATCACAGGCCACCAAGTGGTGAGTCAACCAACCATGGACCAAACTGCTGAAACCATAAGCCAAGTGAAACTTTCTTCCGTATGACATGTATTTCAACCCTGGAATTTTGTCTCACTGACAGGAAGCTGACTGACACAACTACTGTCTCAGTGATTGATACTCCAGTTCAGTGGTTCTCAACCTGTGGGTTGTGACAAATTTGTGACCACAGGGGTCGCAAATCAGATATTTACATTACAACTCATACCAGTAGCAAAATTACAGTTATAAAGTAGCAATGGAAATAATTTTATGGTTGGTGGTCACCACAACATGGGGAAGTGTATTACAGGGTGGAAGCATTAGGAAGGTTGAGAACCACTGCTCTAGTTAATTGAAGCTTTTCCATCCTCTGTGCCCCATGCTGTTGTCTGCACATCCTCCTGTTACTCTCTGTACTCTTGGTCCATGAGAAGGACCAGTGGACTGCAGGTGAGATAGAACAGTGACTCTCTTAAGCAGCAAGTTGAAACATCCTTTGAATGTTCCTCTCTACACAAGCCCCTTGGGTCTGTAGGTCCCCAGAAGAGCCCCCTGCACAACGCAGGACAGTAGTAGAGTGACCAGCTCTGTCAAGTACCCCAACCCAAGAGAGACCTTGTACCCATTACTTTGCAACATTGTTTCTCTCTTCACCTATTCACAGAACACCAGCTTTCATGTCTCAACCAAGATCTGTTTTGCCAAGGAATTTGGGTGGGGCAGAACATGCCACCCTCCATCCTGCCAAGCTAGGGTAGAAAACACTATTCAGTTTTTCCAGAACGTTCCAGAGTCCAAGATTTGTTCAGTTTTGCTTTCAGGGCAAATAGCAACTTGGGAAGGTTGACATCAATATTTTCTTTTCTTCTGGAGGGAAGCAAGGCAGTTGTTTGTACAGAGTCTGATAATTCTGCCTTTGCCAAAAGTGTGCAGGGGAGAGTTTTCCAGCACATATTTGCAAGCATGGGGAGAGAGCCTGGCTCAGAGATGGTTGTCCTGTGTGCTCATCTGTGAGTGATTTCAGCCTCTGATGCAGGAACAATCCTTCCTTTCCTGTCCCTACCATGGTCTGTGCTGCTTTCTCAAGAGCAGTCTATGGGAAGCAGAATCCAAGGAATACCCAGGGGAAGTGCTTTCAAAACACCAGTGGACATTCTTTAGCAAAAAAGGAATATTGAAATAATTGTTTCCAAAGTTCTTATTGGACTGAACTGAGAGCACTTCAGACATAAAAACAAAACAAACAAGCAAAAATCTACTATCTAGGGGCTCCCTGACTGTGAAGCTAGGATCTTCAGAGAAATTCCAAATCCTTCCTGGTTGTTATGTCCTTTTATATCCCAGACAAATCCCAGAAATATTTGACTAATTGGAAAGAGATCTCCTTTGCATCTGTCACTACAGATGCCTTCATTGCCACATGTACAAAACAATCCTAAGAACTATCTTCATATGTCAGATGTAAGATGAATTTTAAAGGACTTTTTCTACAGCTGACACCTATAGCTGCACATCGCTCATCCATGGAATCAACCAATCATGGATGAGATACATCCAAAAATAAGAGAAAGTCATGTCAATACTGAGCATGTGCAGATAGTTTTCTTGCCATTCTAAACAACTATTTGCATTGCTTTGCCATCGTATCAAGAATTATCAGTAATCTAGAGACAACACACAGTAAATAGGAGGAACTGTATAGGTTATATGCAAACACTGGGCCATTTTATTGGCATCCACAGGAATCTTGGGACCAATTTCCTTAGATACCAAGAAATAATAGTGTTTCAAAGCCCCAAATGTTACTACTAATATAATACACCAATACTTTGTGGCTAATATAGCATGCAGCATGCATGTAAGAATTATATATGTGTGTGTATATACATATATATTCATTACAATGAATATTATATATATTTATGTTCATTATAATGAATCTATGAGACCTCTCCAAATTTTATTAGCATATTGTTCTTCATTATAATGGACCTATGTGACCTCTTTAAAGTTTATTAGCTAGGTCAGCTTTGCTATTTGGCACTACAAACAGTGTTTACTAATGAATGAGCTCAGTTATTTACCCTGTGATAAGCACAGATTTATCTGGGTCCAAAGACCATGTTATTTCCATTCTACTCAGTCAAAGTCTAATAGGCAGATTCTAAGATGACCCTTCTGCAACTATTCAAACACTAATGTAAGTACTGATGGGATGGGGTGTTATAGGCAATTAGGTTCTACATTGGTTTGCCTTTAGCTTTCCTGGGAAAACTATTTCTAATGATCTCTTTAAAACAAGACTGTTAGCAGCTGGTGACAAAAGAGTACCTCAGTTTGGACCATCAGGCTCAGCATGTTGTCTTGTTGGCCTCAAAGGGGAGGGTGAGCCTTCTGTGTCAGAGAGAATGGCCAGGCATTTCCAGATACTGCTGTCTTTGGTGAATAGCCACAGAGATGAGAAGGCCCTCAAATAAATTGGTGAAAGGGGCCTCTGAGCTTCAGATGACACTGTAGAGTAGGCTGGTCCACTCTGTGATGTCCTAAGAGAGGGACTCCTCTTCAATGCTAAGTTCCTGATCCCAGGACACTGTAAAATGATTGTCACTTTCAGCTGCTCAGTTTGTAGTGACTTATTACACAGGAATACAGAACTAGCACAGTTGTTCTTCAGTACCCACAGGAAAGTTTTATATAAACCTGCAGACGTGTATCCCTTCCATGAATCAGTATACTTTAAATCATCTTTGGATGATTCATAACACCTGAGCAGTGTAAATACCATTTAAATAGCTGTTTATACCATAGTGCTTACAGAGAGTGACAAGAAAAATGTCTGTGCACGCTCTGTACACATATAGCCTTTCTCCCAAATCATTGCAACTTGAGGTTGGCTCTATCTATATACAGGGGATTTATGGCTATAGAGAGTTGACCATGCGTGATTTCTTCCATGATGTGGAATGGGAGATTAGACAGGAGATGTTGAGAATAGTCTAAAGCCTAGGATGCTCAAGAAGGGTCATAGAGAATGGAGCCAAGGAAGATAAGGAAGCCAAAAGCTTGCACTAGAGAGCAGATGATGACCATAGACAGCAAGGACTCAATCTAAGGTGTTTAGAAGGTGATACCAGTGAGCATCACATGAGTCCCACATGGGAAGTAGGCAAGCCAGGCTTTTTAGTGTTGTTGTTCTAACCTGTCACTGCATGAGAAGAAGTCTTCCACAGAAGCTCAACTAGCTGGGTGAGTGAGCTCTGGTGCCACTAAATTGTATCCATAGATACAAGTTGTATCCACCTTGTCCTAGAATAATAAAGGCCAAAGGAACCAGTGGCCAGGTCTAACAGTGTTACTCTAAAGATATTAATTAGGAAATCCTTTTTTATCTGTGGACAGGTGGCTCTTGTTGACTGTGCAACCCCAGGCAGGTCACACTTATTCTACATGATTACTTCCAGATCATGGGTCTCCTGGCCTAAATATTTCAGCCCCTCCCAGGATCCTCATGAGGCCTTCTCCTCCAGGGAGGCTTTAGACTGAGAACTGAAGAATAGCCTAAAGCTGTTATCACTCTTTTGACTGACCCTGTTGGAAGGGCTGTCATTGGACAGCTCCGACCACACCAGCTACAACATTTGCCAGTGCCTCAGCAAAAGCCGTGCTAGTATTTTAATCCCCTCACCACCTATTTTGCTATTAGTACCAGTATCCTAGGAAGAACATGACCTCTGCTGGGAAGCATCAGCATTTCTAGCAAAAGGATGGCCATCTACACTGCTGGTCAGAGGGAGGGCAGCATGCTCAGGTCTGCTTTCAGCTGGCCTGAGGAGTGCAGGCAGGTGGTTACTCCACTCATGGTGACTGCACTAGGTAGGTGAGGTCATCATATGGGGGTGTGGTCAGCTTGAGGGTGGAGAAGCAGTTGTCATACATGTTGGGAGATACCCAACATGCATTGTGTGATATTTTATTTGTGTTCAGACAAATAAAGCTTGCTTGGAGTCAGATGGCAATGTTAGTCACTAGTTAACCATAGAGGTCTGTAGTCTGTTGAGAGAGGAGACAGGAAGTGATAAGGTGGGGCAAAGAGAGGTTCTAGGCCCTTTTGGATGGAGGAATGAAAGAGGTAGGAAGTCACTGGTGGCTGCTCCCCTGCTTCTCTGATCTTTCAGGTTTTTACTCTGATATCTGACTCCTGATTTTTATTGATAAGATTAATTAAATTTACACTTTAAACACGAGTGCTGAGAACAGAACCAGGAGCCTCTGAAAGTACAGCAAGTACTCTCAACTCCTGAGACAGTCCTCTGGCCCAGCCATCTCTTTTATTCTATTCACTTCTGATTTTTGACTTTTTACAATTTTACAGACAGCAAGTACAATGATACTCTGGACATTTTACAGCTGCAAACAAACAAAGTATGTGCGAGGAGATATTTGTTTTTATACCCTTAGCCATCTTTTAAAACCATTATTTCAAAGTGTAGGCATGGATCTTTGTGAAGTGTATGAAATACCAAGAAGGCAGTGTCCAATGCCCTGAACTGGAGTTACAAGCTGCGATTCTTCAGTACAGGGCCTCGCTGATGCAGGAGGTTTCATCTGTGTTCCCCACTAGTTGGTGCATGGAAGGGTGGTGTGGGACTGTGGGAAGAGGGTATGATGTCTAAACTAATGCCACCCTCAGGGCTCTCTGTGTGGTAGCCTTTTGCCCAGCTATTTCCTGTGCTGTTCTGGCCTGTCAGAACAAAGAGAATGTTAGATACATACAGGGATCCCAGGCTGTGTCATTCAAACTATGACGGGTAATGGGGGGCTATTCTTGGGATACCATGGATAATATTTTAGACACACTTTTGTTTTCAAAGGTAAAATTTCCATAGATTAATGACCCTCAAAAGGGTGAAGATCCAGAGTGTTTGGGAAATGTTGATCACAGTTACTAAGCTACAGCTGAGGGGAGTAGACGAACTGCTGTGCCGTTGCTATAGAAACAACAATGTTCTGTACATGTCAGAAAACAGAGGATTCTGAACTTTTACTACATGGAAATGCTTGAGATGACAATGCCAGCCTAGTTTTGAGGATTATACAATATATACATATATCAACTGTGGTGTGGCACAGCATCTTCGGCTTTTCTGGTTTTATGTATTGGTTTAAAAATAAAAATCACCTTTCCAAGACTTAGTGGAGGAAAGGCTGGAATCAAGCTGAGGAACAGAGTACTGTGGCATATGTCAGTAAAGCGAGTACTTGGGCGGTGGAGGCGAGAGGTCATCCTGGAGTGTATAAGCCTTTCTCAAACAAAAGAATCTACTTGAGAGAAATGAGCTGCCTCTGAAAATAAGCACAGAGCCATTCTGTAGATCCTCTTAAATAGCTATAATTAAAGAGGTGGGCAGGCAGCTCTAAGCACTTGGTGTGCACCTTGGTCACTGAAGTGGTTGCCTGGCATCATTGGTCCTTTGAAATCTCCTGGCCTGTAAGAGAGAAAGAGAATATTAGACACTTAATAATTCAGGGTGGTGTCATTGGACCGTGAGAGAAAAGCAAAAACTGGCCTTAGAGAACACTTAGTAGTCTTTTAGTTATACTGGTTTTGGGGAAGATAATATTGCCAGTGTAACAATGACCTCAAAAATCCTGGGGATCATAATAAAGTAAGAATTGAGTTGAAGAAGGCACATTTTAACAACACTCAGTGGCTCCTAAAAGTAAACACAGGGAACATTCAGTAGATACTCTTAATTAACTATAATTAAAGAGGAAGGGCAAGGAAGCTCTACACTTTGGTCACTGAAGTGGTTGCCTGGCATCATTGGTCCTTTGAAATCTCCTGCAGCCTGTGATGTCCTCTTTGAAGACTCTCATCCTCTCCACCCCTCTCCCCAGAGCTGCTCCTCATGGAGGCCTTTAACAGCCTCTATAGTCATACACGCTCCTCTGAGCTGTCAAGAGTTAACATGATCTTGTCAGCTGCACAGGTTAGGCCAGGACTTGTGGTCTGTGGACACAGGCTCAGCTGGGCACTGCACACACAACTGTAAAGCCCATGGCTGCTAGGAAGGGGTGAGTCACTTGGCCAGCTCTCATGGAGCATTACTGCACACACAGCTAGCTATAAAGTCCATGGCTGCTAGGAAGGGGTGAGTCACTTGGCCAGCTCTCATGGAGCATGACGACATACCGAAAACAAAGTTGTCTGGCCTGAAGATCTGGCCGAAGGGTCCTGACCTCACTGAGTCCATGGTGCCAGGCTCCAGGTCCACCAGGATGGCCCGAGGTACATATTTGTTGCCTGTGGGGACAAGAGCTGACTTACAACTGGGCTTGGCAAGAACAAAGATGTAGCAGCAGAATTCATTACAGAAATCCCAGCATTGAGACAAAGGAAGAAAAAGAAAATGGAGACATGAAGCATGCTTAATCACACCAAACATGCAGAGGTCTTCAGGAGCTACAAAGTGCTTTCATTTATTTATTTATTTATCTATCTATTTTGCAGGTGGCATTTTAAATGAGTATGCAAAAAGCATTTCCTTGTTGTTTGCATGTTCCCAGCCACTTCCTCTGCTACAGTATGGAAAGCAAGGCTGACATCCAAAGCCTTACCAGCAGCTTCATTGTAGTACACATTGATTCTCTCCAGCTGCAAGTCGCTGTCACCATGGTAACTGCCGGTGGGGTCGATGCCATGCTCATCACTTATCACCTCCCAAAACTGAAATGAAGGGAATCATATCATGCTCACAATCTTAACGGTCACCCAGAAAGGCCTTGGTCAGACAGCAGGCAAGAGCCTGGTGAGCTGCTGGCCCCTATGTGTGTGGGCAGCAGCTGCTGCAGAGGGTCTTGGAAATGCGCAGTGCATCGGCCATATTATGACCACAGATGCAGGGCTGGGAGGAGCCTGGAGAGAAAGTGGGCACAGCAGATCCCCTGCCAGAACTGCAGAGGCAGCCGTTCTCTCACT